ATATTTCAATATTATACATATAATAATAAAATATTAAATATAGACTGGTTTATGAAATTGGTTATCAAACCACAATGAGATGTACAATTTATTGATATAAAATTTATGTTAATGATTGTGTATTAATAGATATATCAGCAGAATTGTATATTAATAGGGGCCCGTTCCACTTAACGACCGCAACGCTCACGGTATCATTTCATCTTTGTTGTTCACCGAAAGTTAAACAGAGACAGATAATGGTCGCGAGCGTTGCGGTCGTTAAGTGGAACGCGCCCTAGGTGTATCATGCGGTGATATAAGCGCTATAATATGATAAAATATCTTGAAAATATTTTCTAGATTTCTGTTTTTCTACGATTCTCCAAAATTTTAAACAAAGTATTAAATATCTAAAATCAATATCTAAATATACAATACACTCTGATACCAAAAAGTTTTATTGTATATATGTCCCCATACACACATATAACATATGAATATATGCACAGACATATAGTTTGAATTGTTAGAATTATCAAAGAGAAGATCTAGCCAAGCAGCGTGCGGTCACATGGACCAGATAGCAATTCACGAATCATTGAGCACGGAACCATTGAACGAGAAACGCTGATACATAATCTACGGTATTACTCCAACTCGCATATGTCGATTACCGACGATGGACACCATTTCTAAAGAAAGCAAATGTGCAAATTGCGTTTCTTAATGCAAACAATTCGAACGCGGAATCGGGAAAATATCTGATTCAATTTGTACTCGGTCAAAAACACAAATTCAAGAGAAAAGTAGTCCTGAAATGTGCTACATATTAATATTTCTTTTAATATGTTATTTTATTGATATATATATATATTACCCAAGAAAACGCAAATCTCTCTTGCGATGAATTTTCATAGGACCAGAGCGGTATTTTACTTTGCACTGAAATGTCGAAATGTCATTTTCTGAACGATGTTACATTTTTATGTATAGCGCGAAGCATGATATTTACGATGGTCATTTTATTTTTGTGGAAATCAGGTCACGTAATCCTTCATCATAAGTCGGAAAGTTTTAATTACAATACAGATAATGATGACAAACGATGCGTGATATCAGTGTCACCGCAAGGAGGAAATATATTCACAGTCGGCCATTTCCGACTTTGTTCGGGACAAGATGCATTGATGGTGATTGATACCCCACCTAATTCAATATTTTTCGAATTGATGCTTTCCGAGTAACATCGAGCTTTGGAAATTTACAGTGTAAAGCGGATAAAATAAAATTCTCCATATTTGACGCGATACGCGTAAAGAAAAATAAACGCAAGATAATAATGTGTCAGCATGTGTGTGATAACATTGATTTCAGTCACGATAAATCGGAAATAATTTTTCCATAATTCTTTTTGTTCGTAAATTGTCGCATTAGTTAGAAAAATCGAAATGTTTACAAAGTATCAAAAAATAATACCTGCAAGACAGAATCAACAGAATAGAATACAAGAATATAATGACAGTTATAATTTTTATATTTAAATTATATTATAAGAGAGAATTGTGAAGTATTTAAATGAAAAACTTAGCTTATTATTTTATATCTCGTGTATGTCGGATTATAACTTACTTATCATAAATTATTTATTAAATTTTGATTCATATTATGGAATCCCGAGATCTCAAGGATGAAAGAAAAAATAATGTCTTAGATCGAGAACAAATACGAGAAATCACATGGACGGGATTTGAGCCCGATGGGAATCGTGGAAACACACGTATATACGCGCACGTGTAAATGGGAATGGTTTCTTTTCACGACGTGTTCGTGATCGCTTGTACTCGCGGGCAGTGATTAGGAGCGATGCGTGAAACGTTCGTAACGTTAATGAAAGAAGAGATCGCCCGCGGTACGTGACGTGCCATTTCCACTCGCGGTCAGATCAAGCGGAGAATTTTATCCTCTGTAGCGCGCGATTGTTCTCGCCCGATCCGGCGACGTGACGGCGTTTATTGGATCGATACACCGGTTCTTTTCTCTTCTCTCGACGCTAATAAAAAGCGCCGACTCGATATTATCCACTGTATGTGGCGCGACGGGCTACTGGCCACTCGCACTGGTACTCTGGCATCTCTTGATGATATAAAAAATAGCGTCCGCGGGGCCAGCAACACGGCTACGTGACGTGAGTAATTACCAGCAGCCGCGTGAGCACACGTATGTAACACATCGAGATACAGTGGTGCAATGCGTCTATATTTTAGTGCGTAAAACGTTCGGAAGACGTTCGTTAACCATCTACCTTCCCGCTTCTATTTTCTCTCTCTTTTTTCTCAAAACGCATCTAAAAAAAATAAATTTCTAAAAATAAAAAAAATTGGTGCCCCTGTATTTATTTCATACTTCGAGACATTCGTATAATAACTTGATTGCACAATAAGGTGACGCATAGTTTCTACCAGTACATTTGCCATAAGAAAAGATTTACAATCTGACTTGATTGTAATTTATATACGGCAAACATTCCGAGTGAAATGCAGAAGACACGTATAATTCGGTAGCTATGTATTTTATCGCGAATGTTACGATCTTCATGTATAAATTCTGACTCATCTCACGACTGATTTTAAATCGCTAACCGAACAGAATAATGAAGATATTATAACATTCATGAGATTTCAAAGAGATAAGATTTTATCGATTCGATGTAGTTTATATTTTGAATCTGTAAATTTGTTACTTTCGTTTTTCTCAAGATTTCGCTCAGGATATAATCCGTTCAAAGAAATTATAAATTGATAATAGCTTAAACTCATTTTGTATATGTTGTATTTAATTAAACAGATTCTGGATATTTTCATGTATGATTGGAAGATTACTGTTCATCGAATTATTTATTCGATAGCAGTTTTTAATAATAATTTTGAATACTCGTTTAGAGTAAGCCCCTCGTTAATATCTCATTTTTCAAAATCGGATACACTCGCTTATGTGTCTGATAACACACACACACATTTTTCTCATAAAACAATACCTTTCTAGAAACATGAGTTGTAGTAATTCATAATCGGAAATTAATAAAATTAAACATTTCATAGCTCTCTATTTGCAGACGAATTTGTATCGATTTGTGTGCTTTTTTAATGGAAATTAGTGTGTAACAAACTCCAGTGAATCGAATATAAATCCATTGTTGTAATTTTATTACACAATGTATTATTAACGGACAGACGTTTCTGATAGGTCGTATCTAACTGTATCTAACTGATATTTATCAATGCATTTAATACTTCATTATTTTTATATTTTATAAATCCGTTGCTTTAAATATTAAAGTTATAATCGTCAACAAATTAGATTTTACGCAACATATCATGTGATAACAACGATTGTTTACTTTATATTAACCGTAACGCGAGACACACTCTTAAATTAAGTAAGTGTTGAAAATATTAGTAATCTCCTCGAATCCCGATCACTTTCAGATCAGGGCAGATAGATCATTTAACGTAGCAAATACAAGTTTCAAATTTGGCATTAGACTAGAATTTTAAAAAGACTTTTATATTTTTTCAATGATTCTCGAAAATTAGTAGACAAACAGACCGGAATCGCTTTTTGATGCCAATGTATTTTTTTTCTTCTTTTGCAACTATTAAACGATCATCGTCGTCTACGAAATATTTATTGTATATTTATCAATTTCGTACGATCAATTTGTTCATTTCGGCAGAGTTTCTATCGGTTGGTTCTGCATCCGTAAAAGCCGCGGAGCTACTACCCGTAGCTGCTCACTTAGCTAATTCTTACGGTCTTACGTACCATAAGCTGACGCAGCTGAAAATGATGAGCCTGAGATTCGAGATTACACACGTACCGAAGAACACGTTTCGAGTTATGGCACGGAATATGAAACGTTCCCTCGTGTTGAATTTATGAAAAGGAATTAATTTGCGCGATATGGTCGTGCGACGGAGAGTTCGCGAGAAAGCCGCGACGACATTATCGATGTGAATAAAAAAAAAGTATAAAAATAATGTCGATAGAGATAAACGAAATGTGGGAAACATCGCTATGCGATTAAACGGACTTTACAATTATTACACGCAAGAATAATTTGAAAGAAATATTTGTCTCTCATTGAGAGATTTGAGAGGAACAATATAACAATATAATCCATGTTATAACATGCGAGATGTTAAATTATTGTAGTACAAGAATATAATTTTGATTTTAGTATTTCTTTTACTTGCATCTTAGGATGCAATGTGATAGGTAGAACGTGTCCCGAAAGAGATAAAGCTGTTGAAATATTCCATTGTTTAACAGAAATCACGCACTGATTATACGTTATTTTTCAGGTTGTATTATTTGGTATCAATTAATCGTAGAAAAGCCTGACACTGCTTAATTAATCACAGATGGGGCACGTATCAACGATATTTACGTTATCAGACCCCCAACAAACAGTCAATGTTCTCAAGAATAACGCAACTGTAGGAACGTCAAAGAGAAGATAATAATACCAAGTAAACGTCACGTGAAATAAAAGTGATATTTGTATTGACTGTCAGATAAAAAAGTATGCTGCGTCACAAGAGTGTATAAATCTTGCAGAGATCTTGTATAAATTTTGTAAAAATAGAAAAATTTTATAAGTGAATTTATCCACATGGCATTTCTTTTTATCTTCCTTATCTAAAAGATTATTTAGATTTGCGTGCGTATACGCATATTGCTATCCTTATTTTTTATTTAACAATTTTAATTCTGTTATTTGTTTTATTAGTTATCACGAGCATTCGATAATTTGTGAAATCATTTTATGTATGTTACAATATATAAAAATAGGCAGAGTAATTTGTAAAAAATTTATAGTAATAATTGTTAACAATTAATTATTATAAAATGTGACATAAAAAAGATAGCGAATTAAAAACTGTAAAATATGTCTCAAAGAAAATGCGTGACCATGTTTAACGTATCCTTCTTCTATTGTTAAGCACGATAAGATAAATGTAAGATATGACAAGTTCCCACAAACTGCAGCAAAAGTGTAGTAAAAAATAAATGTCTAAAAATCTTACGTAAGTTGTTGTCAGTGTCAAGCGATAGAAATCCGTGAGTTCATATGACGGTATTCTTTGTGGAATTACAAAGCATGGAGATTGATAACGCAAAGATATAAATGCGTTCGTCTATCATCAGACGTGCAGTTTGATTTGAACACACGGGTTCACAATTAGTCTCGCACGATGCGCATCTTACTTTTTACGATTCTGTGCCTTTCCACGGCCGCTTGTATAGCGGCAGAGATCAATTTCGTCAAAGGTCAACGTCAGGAAGGCGATCATGTTATCGCTAATAGAACCATCTTCAAAGTAAATAAGTTGTTTTAGAAATACTATGCATACGTTGAATATAAAAGAGAAAGAATCTGTTTTATTACCTTGTATATAAAGTCATATATATTCTACTTATCATCTTTAAAAAATCTTTTAACTTGAAGATTGTGTGTCTTTAATTTATATAAATGAATTTTATATTCCATTTTTGTAGATATTAAGAAAAATGTGTTTCCTGTGTTAATTATCTTATGTAAATTTGTTATTTGAATTTCACGCATTGTGTATCGTAATTTGTTACCGATTTATTTAAGATATAAGCGTCAAAATTTATGTTTTGGTATTTACTTTTCTTATAGTATGCAATATTACAATCTAGAACATTCTCATTTTATTTGATTTTATTTTGTGCTATTTATCGTAGTAACTTTTGATATACCCAATGCATAAAATTTTTTAGTTTTAGTAATAATTGTTAAATACTTACGTTTGTTATCACTCTTTCTAAAGTCAAGTAATTTAATTTTAGAGTACGATTGTTTTACGGTTGCTATTACTAATATCTTATTTATATATTTATAGCCTGCAATTCCCTGGAGAATGGTAGCCACAATCGGTATTTCAACTCGATTACACAATGAAGTTATCAACCGCGTTGAAATCAGTAGTGTATTAGGCAAAGAGATCAAATACGTAGTGATAAAAGGTGGCATCGGCAAACAGTATCTAATAGTAAAGGCTATTGGAAAATTTGGAGAAGGATTATATTTACAACTGGAAGGTTTCGCCATACGTGTTTCCAACACATCCAAAGATGAAAGTAGTAACACGTCCGACGATAAAAGCAGCAACAGCTCCGACGACAAAAGCAGCAACGGCTCCGACGATAAAAGCAGCAGCACATCCGATGATGAAAATAGTAAGTCATCCAATGATAGCAGCAACAGCGCATCCGACGATAAAAACAGCAGCGCATCCGGCGATAAAAACAGCAGCACGTCCGACAATAAAAACAGCAGTACATCCGACGACGAAAGCAACAACACATCTGAAGATAGAAGCAGCAACACATCCGATGATGAAAGCAGCAAAACCTCCGATGATAGAAGCAGTAGCGCGTCTGACGATAAAAACAGCAGCACATCCGACAATGAAAACGGCAGCAATAATAGAAGCGACAATACATCTGATGGTGGAAGCAAAAATACACCTGACAATGGAAGCAGTACCACTTCCGATAGTGAAAGCAGCAGCAGGCCTAACAGTGCAAGCAGCAGCGCTCCCAATGGTGGAAGCAGCAGCATGCCTAATGATGGAAGCAGCAGCGCACCCGATGATGGAAGCAGCAGCGCACCCAATGGTGGAAGCAGCAGCGCACCCGATAGTGCAAGCAGCAGCGCTCCTGATGGCGGAAGTAGCAGCGCACCCAATGGTGGAAGTAGCAGCGCTCCTGATGGTGGAAGCAGCAGCGCACCCAATGATGGAAGCAGCAGCGCACCCGACAGTGGAAGCAGCAGCGCACCCAGTGATGGAAGTAGCAGCGCACCCAATGATGAAAGCAGCAGCGCACCCAATGGTGGAAGCAGCAGCGCATCCGATAGTGCAAGTAGCAGCGCTCCTGATGGCGGAAATAGCAGCGCACCCAATGGTGGAAGTAGCAACGCTCCTGATGGTGGAAGCAGCAGCGCATCCAATGATGGAAGCAGCAGCGCATCCGATGGTGGAAGCAGCAGCGCACCCAGTGATGGAAGTAGTAGCGCACCCGATAGTGCAAGCAGCAGCGCACCTGTTGATGGAAGCAGCAGCGAACCCATTGATGGAAACAGCAGTGCACCCGATGGTGGAAGCAGCAGTGCACCCAATGATGGAAGTAGCAGCGCTCCTGATGGTAAAAGCAGCAGCGCACCCAATGATGGAAGCAGCAGCGCACCCGATGGTGCAACCAGCAGCGGACCCAATGGTGGAAGCAGCAGCGCTCCTGATGGAAGCAGCAACGCGCCTGATGGTGCAAGCAGCAGCGGACCCAATGATGGAAGCAGCAGCGCTCCTGATGACGGAAGCAGCAGCGCACCTAATGGTGGAAGCAGCAACGCTCCTGATGGTGGAAGCAGCAACGCACCCAATGGTGGAAGTAGCAGCGCTCCTGATGGTGCAAGCAGCAGCGCATCCAATGGTGGAAGCAGCAGCGCACCCGATAGTGGAAGCAGCAGCGCACCCAGTGATGGAAGCAGCAGCGCACCCGTTGATGGAAGTAGCAGCGCACCCGATGGTGCAACCAGCAGCGGACCCAATGGTGGAAGCAGCAGCGCTTCTGATGGAAGCAGCAGCATATCCGATGGTGGAAGCAGCAGCGCACCCGTTGATGGAAGCAGTAGCGGACCCAATGATGGAAGCAGCAGCGCATCCGATGATGGAAACAGCAGTGCACCCGATGGTGGAAGCAGCAGTGCACCCGATGGTGGAAGCAGCAGCGCACCCAATGATGGAAGTAGTAGCGCACTTGACAATGGAAACAACACTACTCCCAATAGTGGAAGCAATAGCACCGACGGTGCAAACAGTAATGTACCTAACGATGAAAGCAGTAGCACATCTACTAATAGTAATACCGATAATAGCAATAATACAGGCAACGACAAAAATGCATAAAAGTTTATTTATTATATAAAATAATGATTAATTTTTCAAAACTAAAAACTTTTGCAAAAATTTCTGTAAATACATAGCAACTATCACATATATATTATTGCATATACATAAAATATATAAAGATCGCGTTATATTATATTTTATACAATGCATTATTTAATTAGTATAAAATAATGTATATCTATGTATAAATGTAATTATACAAGTAAAAATAACTATGCTTTAATTTATTCGACACGCATCAGTCTATTATAATGTGCGGTTTTTTTTATGACGATAGCGTCCAGTATATGCCGGCGTGTACCTTGTAATTTTACGACTCTCGCGGGCCACTTTACATCGTGCCCGTATATTTCCCATAAAGCGCTCTTTCAAACTCTCTCTCTCTCTCTCTCTCTCTCTCTCTTTCTCTTTCTCTTATAACACGGTTCGACTAAGGTAAAACTCCAGTCCGTTTGCAGGTAAACGATTATCCTCTCCCGCGGCCTCCATCGTCTCTCGCAAAGAAACGGGGTATCTCTCATTGCGAATCTCAGCAAAACTGCGTCGGCGCTTATTATGCCACGTGACGAAATGATAGTGCTCACGGCCAAACACAAAGAGACATTCGTCCCGGTCGCGTGAATCGTGTAATCGCGTGCAAACGGTTCCACGCCCAGGAAACGCAGAAAATTTCACGCGTATGTACGGCGGGATGGTTTTTGTATTCGCATATGCACGCACGGCGCGTCGAATGTTCCGTATCTTATTCGAGAGTAGAACGAGATAGTTTCTAACCAGTGTTTTCCACGCATATCATCACATTAATTAAAAAGCGCGTTTATACATATTTTCCATATAACGAAATGTGCAAAACAAATATCGTAATGAGAAAAAAAACTTATTATGCTATGTAAAATTAAATCAGTTATTCATTTCTCTCTTTATTTCTTATTTAAGCTTAATATATTATTCAAGTCAAAGCGCGTTTCAAATTATTGCAATATAAAAGGGCTTTCAAGATCACTCTTTCATCTTTTTTACGCTGAATTATAATATTTGTTAAATTATCGTGTAACACTAGACTGTAATATTCCTACGGATAATTATAATATTCATTAACTTTCTCTCTCCCTCTCTTCTTTAGTAATACTTTATTTTATATTCTTTTGCTGGTAAAAGAGAAAGGCCTTTCCTTTATATACGCTGTAAAACTTCAAGCCGCATAAAATTATCGGCATTGCAGCATGCGATGAGTGTGTACGACCCTTTTTCTATTTCTATTTTTTTTACGTTGACTGATCAAGCACGAAAGCGTTTTTATTTTTAGACTATAACCACAGCCGGGGCGCTTTGCCTTTCCTTTATATGTGTAAAAAAAAAAAAAACCACTGAAAAACTTTTACTCGTCTCGCGCACAGCATTACGCGCATAGCGCGCGCACATACACACATAGACACACACACACAAAATAATGCGCTCCGACGATTAAGAGAACGTTAAGAGGTCGAGGAAGCAGGCTACGAAACTCGTGCACCGATATTTCGGATGATGGATCGATACGGTGCCAACTGCGGTAATTTCTCTCTGAGGAGAAGCTAAACGAGATATGAACGACACGATTAATTCCCCCGAACGATCTTTTTCGGCGCTGTTAACGGTTATCTGATTGGCTCATGCAGCACCCGACGCTACAGTGCAACGTAACGAGCTGTAGCAATCGCCTTTTTTTTACTGGCACGGTGGTGGCGGCGACGGCGTTCATTCTTTTTGCGCGACCGATGCCGATGCGAGAACGAGAACCCGGCTGGCAAGACCGGGCCGGCCGGTTATTACCGCGGAAGAAGCGTGTTGAGCGCGAAATAATGTTTGCACGGATCTGCAGCACGTACGTTTAATTAATAAACAGCACTCGCTCAATATCCATATCCAGTGGTGAGCACGTTTCAAATAAGGACTACTGAAAATAATCGTTTGAATAGTTTCGTTTAAAAATATAATGTTATTGGTTTTTATTGTCATGAATGTATTTTTCTCTTAAGATACGATAGACAGCAATAATCACACACACACATAATTATTAATTATTAAAATATTAAAAGTATATGAGGTTTTCGAAATTATATTAACGACTATTAAATTGGATAAAGAGAATATTATTTTAAATATTTCTTCAAATATATGTATATTATTTTGGAAGTAACTATTGGGCTCTTATTTTTAATAATAAGGTGCGAAAACAACTAACATTATGAAAAGATATAAGTAATAAAATATAGACAATAACAAATCTAAAAAACCTAAGACATAAGAGAAAATAAATAGAATATAAATACAAATTCGTTAAAAAACAAGAATCAAATAATTTGCTGTTTATCAAATGAAAGAAATAATAATTTTAATTTATATTAATCATTTATGATTTAACAAGAAGAATAGTGTTTAGATCAAGATTTTTATTTTCTATTTAAATACTTTTTGTTCAGCTTTGTGCGTATATATCGATATCTCCAATATTGTCAAATTTAAAGTTTGAACGAAACTGTCACGAATTGTTTACATACGACAAACCTACAGCTCATTGTAATATTAATTTTTCGCAGCTTCACTCAACCACGAATATTTAATAAATAGCGTCAGTTTCGCGCAGATATACGCTCTGTTTGCACTACAAGCGCGCGTGACGTTTGCAGGTTGCGAATGAAATATGTATCACGCGAGCGGTTTTAGCACGTATGCGTTCAAACATTTTACGCATTCATAACGACGCAGGCAATTACCCCCAAGTCGCCGGTGCGATAAGTACAGAGCTAAAAACTATAAATCTCTCAAGTTTCGTGACACGCGCCGCGGCCTTCCAGCATCACGGCCGTGACGCACGTCATGTGGGTACCCATGTAATATCAAAGCGTATGCGCGACCGTGACAAATCCCAGATTACCTTTCGGGGATAACAATACGGGCGACAATACGGTATGTAGAAAGCGGAACCGTGATGTTAATTTCCTGTTGCCGGGCCAAACAAGCCAAACAGGGAGAAACAAAGGCTCATGGGGGATCTTTGCTACGCCTGTCTGCTTCCATATCCCCCTCTTGCCGAATCGTGCCTTCCGTTGTCAAAGATGAAATAGATATTTGCCGTTCGTGCGCAAAGAGCAAGCGTAACCTCAGTCCGAAATTACCTTAGCTTCTCTTAATGACGCGTTGAATTAAGCAAAGTTTAAATAAAGAAGTATATATAACAATATATATTCACACACAGAGGCGTTGAAAATTTTGTTAGATAGAGAAAACCGCTTATTGACTAAAAAATGCAAGCAATGGAGCAAAATTGTAGACTGAGTGCACGAAAACTTGTTTAATTAATGAAATATCGACATTTTCGATTTACAATATTCGATATATCTTGAAACGGAAATTTGCATTTAAAAAAACACATATTTGCAAAAATAACTTATTGTTATAAATGAATCGATAAATATCGATGTTATGGGAATCGGGAAAACGCAAATATAATGCAAGATACACGTCGGTGGAATAATTTTTTCGGAATAAAAACTAGAAAGAAATATAATAATAAGTTAAATAAATTAATAGTCTTGCATAAAAAAAATAATAATTTATGATAATCCTCTGTTTGAATTTAAGAGAGAAGTAATGAAGCCATAGACCAGATCTTTAATTAAAAAATGTAACGAGCCACTAGAAGAGAGACAAATCTGAGATGATAATGTGCCATTATGCATTTATTTCTAGAAAAGCAGACAAGTTATTGTATATATATAGTCGAACTCTTTGTCTTGTTTGCCTCGAAGTTTAATTAAACCGTGAGAATTTGCGTAAGAAAAAACCATTGTATAAACAAGATGCTGTTATTCTCTTGGAATATAGTTAAATTTGTAACGTAGAGCATTACAGTTGAATGTTAGTGCAACTGGAATGTATAGAACTTATATAAACTTTCGGCTCTGGTCTGCATTCCTAATTTATTAATTTCAAAGTTACCTTAAATTTGTTGAAGCATCAATCTCTTTTTCTCTCTTTCTCTCCCTCTTTCTTTCTATCTTTCTGTCAATTCTTAATTATGAGTAAACCTCTACTTCGTACAAATCAAAATACACTTTACCTCCTTCAAATTAAAAAAAATAAAAATATTTGGCGATGCATTGTAGTAAAAAATTTTAACATAAATAAATGTGTAACTCGACTATCTTTACATCTTATTTACCTTTTCCTTTGCATTTTCTTTAGTGGCGCAAAAGTGAGTGAGATCCCGGTATTTTCATTTAATACCAGGAACTTGTACAAGGTACAACAGAACAGTTTTCGTGCGTGTTATTATATGCGCGGCGCAGAAAGCTATTTCCACAAGCTATAAGCGAAGAAACAAGTTCTCTATTCAAATAAATCGGCTTTATAGAGTCGTAAAAGAGCTCGCGATTCTACTTCCACGTAATTTTGGATGCCTTTGTAGCAGGATTAAGGAAACCACGTTCGGATTTCGTTCTTAAAGAGCGCGATCACAAGACGTAGTAAACACTAAATAAATAATTTGAGAATATATATATATATATATATAAATAAATATATATAAATATATATAACAAAGACAATAATTCTGGATTAACTAATATTTCAATGTTGCATAAATTGAAATAGATACCTGAACATTCGTGTTTTATATTCGTGTTTTATATCGTAAACATTTAAGAGTAAGTTTATTTGATAATAATAAACTGTTTTTTTCATATTAAGTATATTGAGAAAGATTTAAATATTCGCAGAGAAAATAAAACATTTTGCGTAATGCTAGAATAATATAACATTTTGAAAATGTAACTTTTTAAATAAAATAAAAATATATGAATAAATAAAGCTACTTAACGAATTGAAATTATTATATAATTATTGTAAAATCACTTTTAATATTTTTTATACATCTAATTCTGTTCATTCACGTTCGTCGTATTAAATATTGCGACAGTTATTAATGTGAGATTTTAGCTTTTACGCATTACTTTAAATTATAAAAGTGTCGAGATTCTGCATGCGTCAAAACATTTCT